CCCCAAAACCCCAAAACCCCAAAACCCCAAAACCCCAAATTTGGATAGCTATAATGAACAATAGGAATTATGTAGAACAAAAGGGTCAGCTATTCAATCTTCTCCAGCATATCACTGACCTCTATGGCTTTGTCATTATCTCTGATAAATATAGTTTTCCTCTTGACCAGTGGTTTCTTAGCAGGTTTTGAGATAAAACTCTTGCTAGAAACAGTCTGGTTATCAATCATCCCTTTCATATTCTCCTCTCTAACAACAATGTCTTTCTCCATTCTTTGGAAGAAGGTTTGTCTCCTTTCTTTGCCCATGTTGATCTTATTAATATAGGACTGGTAGCGATCTCTGATAAACTTATCACTGGTCTTAATCAGCAGCAAGTGGAGGTACTCTTCGTACAGAGTCATATCTGAGTTATGGGTCAAGAGTTTCTTGTCAATATTCTGGGCATTCAGATCCTTTTTGATAAACTTTGTGAGTCCTTTGTCTTTATCAGGGCCATTGGCTATAGATACACTCTTCCTTCTTCCCATATTGAGTCTTCTCTTAGACTCTTTGGAGAGCAGAGAGGTGTCCAAAGTGAATGCACTAAGTCTATCATTTATAGACTCTGAATTCAGATTCCCCACATTAATTTTGGGAATATTTTCACTAGCAGAAGTACTTGGCGGTTGGGATTTATTATCAATTATTGTGTGAAAAAGTGACCCGATCCTCTTATTCTTCTTAAAAAGCCCTTGGAGGTTATGCTTTCTGGACTCTACCAAACTCTGTTGAGCCCTCTCGGTAAGTTTCAGCTTTCTTTTACCCATAACTGAACGGGATGTGTACCCTTTGAGTCTATCTGGTTTGAGCATGTCTGTATAAAATGTGACATTCTTATTTGGTCTTCTTTCAGAATGGTTGATAAACCGTTTGGTTATAGAGGAGTTCTTAGCCCGCTTCATCATCATTTTATAATCAGAATCCTGACTATTAGAGAAACTTTCCTCTGAGATATAGCTAGTTTTGCTATTGATATTAAAGAAGCTCCGGTTTGTATCCCCTTTTCTGGGAATCTTGTAATTCTCAATTTTCAGCTTAGCGATTGGAGGTACTTTAGTTTCAAAGTTAGATTTATTAATCTCTCCATTTTTCAGGATCGATGTAAAGTTCTTTTTTTCACTATTCCCTATATCAATTATGAGGCTGAGGCTAAAGTAGTTACTCCAGACTAGTGAAATCTCTTTCGTAAAATTTAAAATGATTGAATAAGGTGAAGATATTTTGTCTTCAAGCACTTTATGAAGAACTTCAAAAATCTTCTAATTTAGCTCACCTTTACGTTTAAGTTTCGTAGATATTGTAGGTTGCTTCTTGACCCGGATCTCTGAAGTATTGGGTGTCATTCCTTTCCTCTGTAACGTAACCGTATTAAACCTATCCTGGTTGCACAGTTCAGGAGATTGTGCCTTCCTAGGAGTGAACTCATCATCAGACTGAGTAACAAGACTGCTTCGTTTGTTGCATAAGGCTATCTTATTTTTAGCAGTATTGAAAACCTCTCTTACTCTTGGAGTGGTTCTATTAAGGTTGCTATTCTTCCTAAAAATTTGGAGCTTAATCTTCTCAGCTTCTAAGCGTTGCTCTTCCTCTTGGAAGTCACCTCTCTCTTTAGAAGTCATTTTCTCTATTGAAAGTTGCATGTTTGTCTTCTTTTTCATCAAGAATTTATTTGGTGTCTGCTGTGGCTTGGTGCTGTGTTTAGTAATAACAGGGCTAGGATTCTGACTTTTAAACTTCCTATTATACTTATTCATCATCTTTATTGCAACACTATGTTCTCTATTGGGTCGTTAGCTTCATGACCTACCTTGGATATTAACACTAGTATTCAACGATGAGTTGTATTGCATCCTATCAGGGCTTTTTAAAGCTAGAAAATTCGCACTGTCGATGTCAATTTTTCTACGAATTTTAGAAGCTGGGGTTACTTTTTAGTTAATAGGTTAGGTGTTATTCTTGATTTAGGAGTTTTGTTCTGGTTTGGTCTACATATTCGCAATAAGACTCAGTTTAGAAATATAATAAGTTATCATTAAGAAGTTTGAAAATTACTTATTTCGGTCTGTTCTTGCTACAAGCATAGACAGATCATCTCTGGTGAAAGTCAATATCGAAGTTGATAGAGCCAGAATAGCAACTTTCTGCAATGCTCCTTGCAACGTCATCTACTCGTTTCTGGATGGTCCTAGTCTTTTTCATTTATATTTTAATTATATTCAATATGGAAGAGGTCTATTGGGGTTTTGGGGTTTTGGGGTTTTGGGG